ATCTAGGACAAACATTTAATAAAAGAATCGCCCAGCACTGCATGTAACGGACTGAACAGGTGGAATCATTAGTCTGGATCAGATCCCAGAAGGTGTTTGTGATGATTCTTTTAAAATGTGGCCATGTTCTTTCTGCGCAGAGTTGACTCAGTGGCTTCCAGGAACAGGAATGTAATGTCGTTTCAGGGGTGTCTTCCATTTAGTCATATGATACCGTGCACTAACTTCGGGTAGTTGTATAGTATGTTGTAGCTAAACAAGTTGTGCGGTTCCATTTTGTTTTCTTCTTAATAGAAAGTGTATGCATGTGTGAGGAAAACAAGAACAGATACCACCCGCCACCCCGCACCTCTCCCCTGCCTTTTGTCCGTGTAAAGGGTAGGTGTGGTGGTTGCTCCAGGGTGGTCTGCCAGAGACGTAATAAAGCTGGCTTTGGAAAACCACAAATGGAACTTAATTCTTTCCACCACCTTTCCCTGTTATCACAGAATTCTTAATTTATTCCTAACCAGAATTTTTCTCCCTAAAACTAATGTTGCCTTCAGGTTGTGAAAATCTTGCATGAATTACTGGGTTGAACAATGCAAGGAGGAATGCAATGGAGAAAAAGATATGCTCAGTCGTTGGGATGGGAAGAAGGGTTGTCGCTGAAATGTCAGAGCCTGGCTCAGAGAAGGAGAAGAAAAAACTTCATGGTTCATCTAGTTAAGCTCATGCAAGTGTTTTGCATTGCAAGTATTGCTACTGTGTTTCATCCAGAAAATAGAGAAGAGTGGATTTCTGTTAAAACAGTGGATAGGGACTCACTTCTCCTGAGTTTTATTTTCTGTCAGAGGTTCCGTTCTGACCTTGGAGCGCTTCTCGTGTCTGTACATCTCACTTCTTCCTCATCTGTAAAATATGGATAACAGTACTCCTCTAAGTACTTCTCTACTTCAGAGTGGTCATAAGAGGAACAGTATCGTGATGTACATGAGGTCCTTATATTAAACAGTAATAGGTATTGTAAAAGGGCCTAAGCAGACAGTCAAATCTTCACAGTTCTTGGGCAAAGTAGCTTTTTATACAATACCTGAGGTGCAGGCACCAAGAGATGTTTGTGACAACCCATTTTATTCTCCGACTTGCTCTGATTCTGTGTTTGACTACAATTTACAGAATCTGAGTGATCCCTGAAAATTGAGTGGCAGCAGTGACAATCACAAAAGAGGGTCAGCAAGAACCTTTGAGTGCTAAACAGTCATGGGTGTTGGATTATTCAAATCAACACCCTGCAGCCTGAAAAGGAAATTTTAAGGCTTTGTGAAAATTATGACTGATTCTTTGCAATGGCTGTGGTACTGTGGAGGAATGAAATGGATGGTTGGGGGAAGGGAATAGGTTTGCATTCTGTAGGGCTGTGAAGACAGTTTGCTTGCATCCTTCTCCTCAGCTCAGTCCTTGCTCAGTACCCTCTGCGGTTAGATTATTCCTTGCAGATAGCAATCAACTGGAAGGAAGTGTGTGTCTAATTTGCATGAGATTATTTAAAACAAAAAAAAAAGGTCTGCATTAGTCAGGGTGATGGTAAACAACGCAAAGAGATGCCTTTTATAATATAGCCGTGGCTCAGCTTTCAAAGCCAAATATAATTCACTTACAATTGGCAGTTTCCTTTATTGTTCCTTTTAACCTTTTGCATTCTGCATGGTCTTGATCTTGCTGCAACTCCAGAAGAACTAAAACATTTTCCAAAGTGTTGAGAAAGTGGATTTAGAGCAATTCTTCTGTTAAACTGAGGTGATTTTATTGACATACCTGTTTGAGAGTTATGTTAGACACAAAGCTCCAGTTTTCGTGGCACTGCTTTTGCAGCCAAGGGAAGTGATGTTATTTTGGGGTTACCAGCTGGCTGCTAGATTAGAGCAATGAATGGACCATGGATACTTCTTTATATAATGCAGTGGTAGAAGGACTGTGATAAAATTAAGCAAGGGGAGATACTGGAACAGATGACACTTTGTTCTGGTTTAGAAATTCCCACTTTTCTATGTAATTAGTGTATCAAGGTTGAATAATTTGAGGCATGGAAAACTCATACTGAGTGCATACATGTGTGTTGGTGCTGAATCTGAAAAAAAATCAGTCCAAAGCAAATTCTGATGAGTTAGTTATAGTTGCCTGGGGACAATTGTAGAATATCTTGTACATTTTTGTTAGTGTGTGTGAGAAATGACAATCATGAAGACAGATATATTTCTGAATCCACAGATGACTAGTTGCAGTGCAGACATACTCAATATATATGCTTAAGGAATCAGCTCCGGGAGATTATTCCCTTGATGCTTGGAGGCCAAGATGACAGGGCCTTAAAAACATCTTGTTCAGATGAATAAAAATGAGGTGTTGCAAGATGTTGCACTCCCAGTCTTCACCTTTGATAATTAAGAAGGGATGTAGTTGTGATGTTCTTTTTGTATAATGCCACTAGTACTATGAACAAGACGACTTCACAAGGCAACAGAATAGTCCAGGGAAGTAAGAACAATTTTAATTTGTGCTACTTTGCACAGGATTCAGAACAGGAACCCACATGTGAAAGGTTTCCCATCATTCTATCATTCGGATCAGCTTTTTCTTCACAGTACTGAAGGGTTTTAATGGAAACAGTGATACTTGAGTCTCCCCAGTTGGCAAGACCAGAATAATCCTGGAAGTGCATTTTGTCTACAAAAGATTTTAGGGTTTTTTTCTCAAAATAGGATGAGAATCGAAGGGGTGGTATGCTTAGGAAACAAGAAGTGTTGTTTCCTGCTCTTTTTGTGGAATGAAGTAAGGATCCTCCATAACTTCCATCCGTTTCAAAGTGTTAAATATTATCAGATCGCTGTCTGTGCATGGATATGGAACAGAATGCCCTGTTCTAGTGGGAGCCACATTTGCAGCCAGCAGCTAATACTGTGTCCATCTTTATGAAATTCCAGAGTTGCTAGTGATCTGCAGTGTTGGCATCTGTTCATGCTTTCTTCTACATTGGATAGTTAGGAACTGGTTAAAACAGTTTCTTTGTGATTAGAACTTTGCTTTTTAACATGGATTAGACACCATAAATATTGCTGTTGTGACTAGAACTAGGCTGAGTTGTGTTCTTATGTGTTTTATTACTCTCACTGCAAGTCATATTACATACTGTTATGTGTGGTTTTGGTTCCTTACTATTTGAGGCATGCATCAAATACAAGTAAAGGGGTGTTTTTGTCAGACTGCAGGACCAGAGATCAGGAACGTCAGAATTCGGATACTGTTTCTGACACTGACAATATTCTGTTATGTTGGAGAAATCACTTAACTTCTCTGTGCATCAGTATCTGCACTATAGAGTAGATACTGTGAGTTCCTGTGAGATACTATTATGTCTCATGTACTCACAGGAACAGGGAAAAGATCTGTTAATAGTTGTAAAGCCTTCTGAATACCAGAAGCGCTGTGTTAGTGCTTTATGATATTAAATAATGGTTCTGAGACAGACTTGTGTATTTATTTCTGGCAATATTGTTTGTACTAGATTATTCTGTGTAGACCCCCAGTATGCAGTGAAGTTTAAGATCCTGAAAAAAATTTCTTAAAACTTAGGTAACATGCCCAGAAGCCTGGCCATTTTCTATATTGTGTCTCCCTGTACTGTTAAAGAGCTAAGTGTTTTAAAGAATTAAGTTCAGGAATTTCGTCTACCAGCAATAGTTCATGGACCTCGAAAGGAGGTGATGGAGAGAAAGTATTCCCCCATTTTGCTCCCGCTGCTGTCATATTCATACAATTTTCCTCACTGTGCTCAGTTCCTACAACAGCTGTGTGAGAATCAAGTAGTCTGTCTCTTCTCTTCTACATCTCGTCCGTTAAATGTATATTCTCACTTCCACCGTTTCTGAATGTTCTTGCATGCATGCTGCATGTATAGTGAAAGGTCCTGAATCACTTCATGTCTTCCTCATAGCAGGGACACTGGCTTTCTACCTGCTTCTGTGCGGGAGAGTAACATAACAAATAATACACAGCTGTCCAGGCCCCACATCGTGGTTGCCATCTGAGTACTAAATTCTTTTTCTAGAGGATGTTTTCTCCTGTTGGAAAAAATAATCCAGCTGTGCTTCCTTTTTCACAGATGTTGGTCATCGTGAATCCTTTAGCTGCTTTTCTTTTCCTCCTTGTTGGCCAAATCCTTTCCATATGTTGTGGCCAATTACAGATGGTCATCCTGGCATTTCCTGATGGCAGGAGTGACTGCACCAACATGTACCATGTGTGCAGTGTTACTACAGCCCACATGAAATAAAAACCAGGCTGCCCTAGGGCAATTGAATCATGCAGCAATAGGCCGGGGCAGTGCTAAGCTGAAAGTTCGGGCTTGGCCTTGTTTTGATCTGTTTTGTTATAGTTTTATTTCCTCCTTACATTCTGTGTCCCATTCATACTAATCACAGTCAGTCCTGATTTTTTCTTTTTATTTCTGCATTTGTCATAAAATAAAGCAAATTATTCCCGTCTTCGGAAACGATCTAGACTAATTAGTCGTCTAACCCAATAATTAGTTTTTTGTTTCCCTGTCTGTTTTCATGCATTATTGTTAGTTTTTTCCTCTCTTTTTTTTTTTGACACCATTACAGATTAAAATGAGCCACATTTGCAGTTGATGGTATCTTTTTTTCGGGGGAAGAATGGAGAATTGCAGTAGAAAGCTACTTCAAAAGCAGCAATAAACTCAAGGATAAATTAAGGAAATTGAATGAGCCACATTTGGAAGCAGCGTTGAGGCTAATATTCTGTCGCTTAAGGTTAAATTGCAACAGAGAAAGAGAGAGGGAGACATTCCAGTGAATCCAAAATTGGGGAGGCATTACTGCTGAAGTCAGTGCCAGAATTCTTTGCAGCTTGAAAGGGTTCTGCCTGGCTTGAGAATTTAATTATGCGTGCATCAAGTGGGTAAAGGTGCTAAACTGATTTCATTTCCTCTGCTCCCCCAGGCCTGACAGATGAAGAAGTTGACCTGGCTTTCCAGCAGTCGGGCACAAGCACGGATGAGCCACAGTCGCTAAGTCCTTCTACACAGCCCGTGCCAACTCAGCCCTCTCACCCTGTGGTGTATAGTAAGTAACACTTTGAAAAACATCTGGTCCTGTTGCTTTCTGTAGTGATTTCTGCAGCAATTTCACCAGATCCTCGATTTCAATTCAACTAATGCCATACTTTTTGTCAGAATTGAACACCAAATGTTACTTTGAATGCACTTCATAGTTGTTAATGCCTGTGACAAGATCAGATTACACAGGGAAAATGAGATACAAATGGTCATCGTCTGCAAACACCATACGTACTAGCCTCTGGACCTGAAGGTGTATAGTCAATACAAATTAGATTCTGACCCACTATAAGAACTTGAAAAAAGCATTTAGTCCACATAGGACTCAGTCTTCCCTTCTAAAACCGAAGGTCGTCCTTCCCTTCCTCAGTAGGGTTTTCTAAGATCATTAATATATGGCAGAGCTGACTCACAGGACTACCTAAAACTAAACCGCATGACTAGTAGTGTCATCCAGATGGTCCTTGGACTCTGACAGGTAATGCCTAGAACAGTTACTTGAAAGAGGTGTATTTTCAGCATGATCAGCAAGCTAGAATATGAGGTCTTCAGGACTTAGTCTGTGACTTCCCATCTGTGAGTTTAAGGTCTGGCACAATGGACCTCCGGTATAAATGAGTTTTAAGAGTGCTATCAGGTTACAAATAAGAATAAACAGTCAATATTGATCCTTAATTTTAACAAGCTTTCTCTCTTCAATCTTAAATAATCTAAGGGGTGACAGCAGAAATTCTGTGTAGACTGTGTGGGTGTGATTGTATGATTTTGTGTACAAAATAGACTCTCAAAGAATTTTTAAAGTCCCAACATAATCTGTGTAGACTCAAAATTTACATACATATTTGCATTTTAAAACAAACCTCGCAAAAAAGTATCTAAGCTCCAAACAATAAAAACCAAAGTACACACCATTAAAAATCCATCAAAAGAAGCTGTTCAGCTCACATGTGTGTCTGGCAGTTTGAAAATCCTGCCAAGTATTAAGAATAGGATTTTGATACTGCTCCTAAGCAGCTCTAGGTTAGATATTGAGCAACGTAACAGTCCACTTAGGGCTGTGTTTATTAGTTTATGGCGTAGTGTTGCTATTGCTAGAGACAATGCTAGACTTGCTTTCTGAGTTTTTAAATGCTCTGGTTTGGCACAGTTTGGGAAGAAAAAGATTTGTGGTGGAGTTGGACTCAGAGCTGGAATATTTCTGACTGCTATACTGGGTGTGCTGGTGAACTCAAGGACTGAATTCTGCCTCCTGGGCAGAACCTGTCTGCCAGGTTCACAGAAAACGCCAGAAAAGCAAAATCTGGTCTCTTGCTGAAGAAACAGTGCCAGACCCCTCTTATCTGTTGCTCATTCAGCTAACTCTTAACACAGCCCAATATTCGAAGAGTTAATCTTCCCCTATTTTATAGTGTTCCACTACTATGAGTAGGGCAGGAAAGAAGTATGCAATTCAGACTGGAAAACAATGTCATCATTGTTAACCCTTGCAACTTTGTCACTGGTTGGTTTTTCCCTTTCACTGTTTTGGCTTTCGTCAAAGCACCAGCTCCCAATTTCTTCTTAATAGGTAAGATTAACTAATATTTAAACATTAAAAAAGTTCCCAGTAGCAGCTCCAAAGAGAAGTCTGAAAGTATCATCCTGTAATGCTCAGAAACCAAAGGTGAATAAAAATACCGCCAAAGTAAAGCTTTTGTAGGGGTTGTAATTGTAAACTGGTGCTCCGGCTTTGTGATCTGATTGGTGCTTTTCAAATAATTTGAACCAAAAGCTTTTGCCTGTGAGCCAGTCCGTTTTAGCAACACCCAAAATAAGGGAAGTGGTGACAACAGGTTCATTAGGTATTGTCCCTCTACTCTCTAGCCATTCTTTGTAGACCTTCTATTTAAGCTTAACCTCTAAATGGATGTATAAGAAGAATAAATAGCTAAATATGCATGTTATTTGTTTGACCAAAATATTTGTTTTGATGAGTTGTCGTCTGGGCCCTGTTCTGCTCCTTGACTGGTGTAGTGCTGATGTTGTTAATGGTGGATTCATCTTTGTGTCTGCCTGTGAAGTACTTTCCATGGTATCAGAACTGCAAAAAGAAAACATGAATTTCTCTAGAGCTGATGGATGACACTGTGCAGTGGCTCAGTGCTCTTTCAAGGTGCCTTGTTTGCTGTAGGTTATTTCATCAGTTGGATGCTAATCCTGTAATGAATATTTCTGAACTGGTCCAAATCTGCTTCAGGACAGTTGTTTCTGTGATAGTTTACTAAGTCAATTTATCTTTCATAGATTTGTCAGGGGTTGTCATGTACAGAGAAGGATAAGTACTACTTTTTCTGTCTATCTGTTATGCTTATCTTCATACAGAGTATTCATGACACTAGTGTTGGAATGCTTCAAGGTTTAAAGTTCAAAAGTATAGCTAAAGGACCAATGAGATAGATAGACTGCTGAATCTATAAGTTGACTCGTTGAAGGGAAGAGCTCATATTGGAAGAGCTGATATTGAAAAAGATTGAGCTATATTTGCTTTACCCAAAGAAGACATCTGAGTTTCTTGTGAGGCATGATCTGATCTGCTGGAGTTTAGGTCTTGAAGACTGTGAACCACTTTGTTTCGGTATTTTTCACTCTTTTTTTTATGAGTAGTTTTGACACCTCTACACAAAACAGCGAAACTAGAGAGACAGAATTAACCCCCACAGAGCAAAAAGAGGAAGAAGTTGAGGAGGGTACTGTGCTGAAAAGCAGTGGGTAGTATCTTAAGAAACCTAATTTCTCTCTGTCCCCCCTCCCCACAAGGTGTTACTGCTTCATGTTTAAAAATTACTTTAAAACTGTGGGTTACGAGTACAGAAGTTCAGGATGGCTTCAGAACCATCTCAAGAGTTCATTCAGCAGGCATGGAGCAGACAGCCAAGTTGGTGAACTTGCCAGCAAATCCAGTGTAAGATGTCCACTCTTGTGAGTCAGAGCAATAAATCCTATGCATTTTGATTTTACTTGCTTGATCTCCTACTGTTGTCAGCTTAGTCTGTTCTAATTATTAAAGTTGCAGGAAATAATTCATACCACTTAAATACTTTCTTTTGTATAAATTGAGCTGCTAGTGTAGGTATTACTTCTAATGTTTTGTTGGAAATAACTGTTACCTGTGTAAGTACTTCCTTATTCTTTAAGAGTTAACGAAAAAGAAGCGTATTTGTAAACCTTCAGAGCAGCATAGTTCTTGTATGCCAAACTCCTCCTGGGTTTGGTTTAAGAGAAACAATAATAACTTTTGGGAGGAAGAGACAAGAATTAAGTTAAGTTTCTAGACTCTGTATTTTAGCTCAGTACCATCTCTACTGTTTCTCCTCCTGTTCTGGAGGAGTGATTCCTTCCCTCCAGTTTGTACTTTTGCCAAGAGGTGTCAAAACCGCTTGAAAAAAAAAAAAGCAGCTTAAAAAAAGCTTGAATTTGATTAATATAGAGAAACAAGACTTTGCCTGACTGATAATAAAACTGATAAATGACATTTGAATTACTTGTAGCAGTAATTTATTACATAAAATATCTTTTATTTGACATGCGATTAGTTACTGGAAGCATCACTCAATCTGACTAGTTTAAACATGCTCTAAAATGAACCCCCAGTAAAAAACCTGGGCTGTCTGCTGTTGGCGTTATGAAATATACTAATCCAGCAGTGAGGACAAAAATCTGACTTTAAATATTTAAATGATTAATTGGGTTTATATTTTTTTTTTTTTTTTACCTTTCTAACCCCTATAATTGCAAGCAAACTCAGGGGAGTTTCTGAGCTAGGTGTGCAAAGCTGCACGCTTAACATCCAGGTATTGTCTGTGTTCTTCCCCATGGTATGTATGGTCTCCATTTATGGGGTTTTGTGCAGATTTTACACCTGCTGAAAAGTCATCTGTAGTGATTGTTTTTCTTGCCATTTGGATCTTCTTCTTCCACCCATGTCTTCATTATGCGGTAGGCTGTAGAATACAGACTGTTTTCTCTTACAATTAAAAATGGCAACTAGAATCCAGCTCTTTTTCCCCAAGTCCTTTCCGTGGGTTCACTGTTTGCTCTTGGCAAATCACCTCTTCCAGCCTCAGTTTCTACAGTTTTAAATGTGGATGCTAGTGAGGCTGACCTTACTTGGATGCACAAGACCTAATTAACTGATGTCAGGAAAGTTAATTCGGAGATGAATGGGGATCTTAAAAATATGTAAGTGTTGACTCTGGAATTGCAATTTACAGTTGCTGCTGTGAAAATTAAATATACTTACAGATAACACAGACCTAGAGCTGGAGAAAATGTCTGTGTCCATTCCGTTTCCATTTTGAGGGTCTGTTATATAGAATGGTTTGTTACTTCTGCAGTGCCTAAAGCGAAGAGTAGTTGGGCTATTACTGCTTTTTCACTTTCTCTGAATTTTATTCCGGTTCCACAAGTGGGGAAATTGAGGATATGCAAAGAAGTCAGCTGAGCACTGAGGTTACAACTGAGAAGCTTCTAACCCTCTTTCCACCCCATGTTTTAGATTACAGTATTGCAGAGAAAAAGGAAGATTGAATGTGGATTTTAGGCAGAGCTGTGACGTTCCTCATAACACTGTAAAGTTGATATGGTCAATGCGAAGCCTTTACTGCATCCCTCACTCACTCACTTTTCCTCTCCACCCCCGTCACTTTTTTTTTGCCACAAGACAGAATTATTTCACACATCTCTAAAACGAGTAAAATGGCATTTCAGCTTCTTGTCTTTATAGACTCTCTGAACTTTAGGAAAGATCATTCTGGTCCCTTTTCATTAATAATGAAAACCAGGGGGCAATAAAATGTTCTTAGCTCAAGCATTAGAGGAATGGAGGGAGAGATGAGTGAGGTGAAAGGGCGAAGCAGACGGGGTCCTACAGGTGTCCCTGCTTTCTGCTCGGAGGTCACCCTGGCGGGGAGGTAGGTAGGGACAGCCAGCCAAGGACTGCCATGGACAGGGCACAGCTGGACCCACAGACCCTCTGAGATTAATTAACCCTTTACAATAGGCAGTTCAGCCTGGAACAAGTTGTATTGTCACAGAAGGATATTTTTAGTCAGAAGTTCAGGGCAGAGAATTGGACAACCAAGAGACTTCAGATACCAGAAATGACAGTGGGAGCAGGGTAAGGAGGGGAAGGTGGGATGGATGACTGGGGTTTGCAGCAAGATTAGCCAGAGATCATTTTAAATCCTGACATGTACACAGCCAGTTACTGCAGCTTAGCTGACGTATGTTAACTCATTAAGTTAAAAAGTTATTATAATTTGATCATGTGCCTAAGCTCCAAAATTGCAACTGCAGCAACCCAAAATACTGCTGGTGACACTATTCACCAGTTCTGACAGAGCTGCTTTAATTTGTTCGGATTTCTAGCCAGTGGGTAATTTGAGGAGCTGCATCCTAAAACATAGCAAGATGTTATGAGCGCCAGTACTTGAGAGTCAGTGGCAGTCTGTAGAGCCTGAGGGCTGGCATTAGGGGTAAACCTTGTGATGAAATGCCTGTAGAAGACCTCAGCAACAGGAAAAATGGCAATAGGTGAGCAAAGCAGAAAGGAGACAAGCTTCCAGCCATTTCAGCCAGTTAATCCTCCCTTTGAAAGCCTAAATTGAAACTCTGGAGAACAGAATGCATTTCTGAGACATTGTAGGTCACGTAGATTTGGATCTGTCTGTTGGAGACTGTACAATGGCTTCTACCTCATCAGTTCTGCCCACATCCTGCCACTGAACTTTAGGAAAGATCACTCTACATTCTCTTTATTATTAAAGAAAATTGGGGGCAGTACAAGATTTGTTAAGGGAACTGTGAGAAAGGTAAAAGGATAAAGCTGGTGGAAAACTACAAGTGTCTTCTGATTCTGCTTGAAGGAGGAGGGCATACCATATCTTTGCTTTGCTCTGTGGAGTCTCTAAGCTTCTGTGCAGAATTGTGTGTTACATAGCTAAAGCTTTTATCTACTTCTTTACCTCTCTCTGTAGATACTTAATTGCATATTTTCTCTCTGTTGTTTATGTGTGCTTTGGTCCCTATTTGTAATTCAGGCTTGAAAGACACTGGATCCTTCCTTATTGAAACAGTCCGTAATTGCTGACACAGTGTTCATAAACCTCTTTATTGCCCTGATTTCTGTTCTTTCTCAAAACACTTCCTTCTTTCTTTTTTTCTGCATTCTTCTGGGTTGCTGGCTCTGTCCCCATTTTAAAAAATTATGATAGTGAAGAACAATCGGTATTGAAGTAATGAGTTAGCCTTGGCTAGCACTAACATCACAACCAGTTACCTGGGGAAAATGCAATAGGGTTTAGAGTGCCTTCTGCAAGGAAAGAGTAAGGCAAAACAGCTTGATGGAACTTTTTAAATTGCTGCTGTGATTTGTCTCCCTTTGACATCTTGTGCAAGGCTAGTGTCAATGCTAGAGGTCTGGACAGGTGTTTTGATGTCCTAGGGCCAGAAGCCTGCACACTTCACCTGAAGGACTACCAGCATCTTAATTCCCTCTGCTCAGTAAATCTATGCCTGCTAAGAAACAGCAGAACAGGCAGTATTCGTTGCTCTTTTCTCTGATAAAATGAGTGTAAGGAAATGTTGTCATCTACAGTTTTGACTCTGATTATTTCTTGATTTTGGCCTTTAGGTCCACCTGCCTCCAGATGGCGAGATTATGGGGCTTTGGCTATCATAATGGCAGGAATTGCCTTTGGATTCCACCAGCTCTACAAGGTAATATCTGAGAGAACGCTGTCATGCTGCTTATGTCCAAACGATCATGTTGACTCCAAGTTGGTGAAGCATCTCTGTTCTTACTGGGACTGCCACTCTTATATTTGAGAAATGTAGACACTTAATGTGAAAATGCAGAGTTAAAAAGTGGCAAGCAAACAAAACTGGTTTTTAGCAGTGGGTCTCAAACTGCTAGTTTTTAGCCATGGATCTGAAACTGCTAGAAACAAGGTCTTTTTCATCATGTATGTATATTTCAGAATTTTTCAAGCTGGGGAAACTGAGCACAGTTCTGTAAAGGCATTTTCCCAGCATTGGCTAAAAGACATTCCTCTCATAGCCCCAGTCTAATATTAGATTTTTCCACTGGTGATCCTGCGCATTGGGTAGAAAAGAATCTTCTTTGACCAATGGGAACATTGAAAAGAAGGTGCTAATTTCCAGGTCTGCCATACACCCTGTAGTTCTACTCCAATGTGCTTAGAACAAGGTAGAGCAAGCGTGTGTCTGCTTGTGTATCGTAGAGACAGCAGCCTCTGCTTGTTTCTTGTGCAACATTTCTGCAGCTGAACATATTTTTTCACTCTGGATTTGCTTTCCAGCAGTGTGTAAATGACATCAGATAATATCTTTGGTAAACAGTCCTATTCTGTGGCTACATAGAGGGACATAAGTGGTTCAGGTCAACACAGCAGAGTGTAATAGCTTTGGTCCAGTAGAAGTTGTGTTTTATTTTTGACAAAGGGACAGAGGTGAAGACGTAATGAGAAGGTGATAGTTTTCATGGTTTTTTGTTCTTTAACAATTATTGCCTTGTTTAGTAAAATTTATTTTACAAATAAAAGCGTTGGCCTTCTAGTTTAAAACTACTTTTCTTATCCTGTCCTGTCATTAATTTTCTGGGTCTCAGAAAGAGACCAGATTAAGCAACATGTTCCATCTGTGCAAGTTACATGACTTAAGAGAGTGGCATTTTGTTGAGGTGTGTTGTCCCTGTGTTTTTATATCAAAGTAGTGATGCCAACCTTGCTGATGTTTTCATTCTTGCAAAGAATGGCGTGGCTGATAAGTGTCCAGAAAACATAAATTTAGATAATTTTTTTTCTTAATGTCACTGAAGCTGTTAATATATCCTACTGCTGTGTTCTTTGTTTACAAATCTTGCTCTGTTGTCTGTCCAAACCTCATAAGGCAGATTGTGTGCCTAGCAGAGACCCACATTCTTTTATAGGAGTAAGACATTTTTGGAGACAGCTGATAAATTCCCTCTACTCTTCGTGGGATTTTGAGCCAGTTTGCACATAGTGATTTTTATGTGAAAGATAGGATTCTATGATAAAGCATAGTTGTCCATGTGTGTTCTGTGAAGATTGAGAGAACTGTTTATGAATGTCATCAAAAGCTATTTGCTTTTCAGAATGTCCGAGTGTAAACATGTACATGTGCTTTGTGAGGGTAAGAGCTATGTACAGCAACACTGAAATCTTAAACCCAGTGCTATTAAGTGTAAAAGAAGGCTGTCCCACACATGTCAGTTTGGAAATCAGAAATCATCCTGTGCGTATGCCCCTAGAGTGGGTGTACATGCATCAAAAGCCAGGATGAAGAAGAACCAATAGGCACTATCAGGGCTGTTTCCACATCCTAGAGCATCTTTCTCTCATGTTTTTTTCACCTGCCGTGTTGTGCTTGGATGTGCCCTTGTTAAAGTGCATATTCAGTTCATAGAAGCAGTGCTGCAGAAGGATCCATGGTAGTGAGAGAAAAGTTGTGACCTATTCGAGGGAGTCCATCCTGTGCAAGGGCAGAATGAGGTAGATTTCATGGCTGTGTGCAGTGTCACTGAACTGCCTTCCATCCTGTGCTAGCTTGGATCTCATTTCCTTCAGCACTGGTTCCTTAGTTCTCTTCCCTGTGCTCCAGATCTCTACTTTTACCTCCGTGACTCATAACCATTCCCCCACCAAGGTTCAAAAGATTTATCAATACCTTTCATTCCCTGGCTTGTGCTTGCTCTGGCCTTTCCTGGGCCTTTCTCCACTTCTTCCCACTTCTGCATTTCTTCCCTTGTAGATCTAGCCCAGATGTTGCGACACATCAGTGTGTTCACATTTGAGAGTGTGAGATCTGAAATGGTACCCTATATGTGATAGATGTTCCTCTGGACTAAGAGCTGTCCCAGGAAACCTTTAATGGAGTTAGGAACTGCTTTTTAGCACACTCAAAAATGTAACCACAGAACTCATATCTTCTCTTCTGCAATTTCTTTTAGCACCTACTGTAGGGGGAATTTATTTTCTCAGCCAGGTGTGTGGATAAATGATCATTGGCTCTGTGATAAAGGCTGAGGTTTGGGTGGTGGGCTTTGAGGATGTTTCAGGTAGATTAGAAAGACCACTTTGCATATCTCTATTTCCTAAAAAAGTTTCTGTACTCCATGCAGAAATACCTGCTTCCTCTCATCATGGGAGGCAAAGAAGACAGGAAACAACTTCAGAGGATTGAGTCAAACATTTCTGAGATGAGTGGCAGTGTGACACAGACAGGTAAAGATTAATGACTCCATCAGTTCACCCCTCAAAGCCTTTCTCCATGTATCCTCCATTCTGCCAAGACCCCCACCCTTTTCTTTCCCTCCATCTCCACTTTATGTGGTGACTTCATTTATCTGCTCTGAGAATCTGTTCACATTTGCAAATGAAGCCGCCGTCATTTCGGTTTAATTTGAAATTGCTTGTTTACTGTCGGCGCAGCCTCAATTAATTATGTTTTTACGGAAAGGCTCCCAACCTCAGAATATTAATAAGGGGAATAAAATGACAGCCTTTCGGAGGGCTGTAAAGTTCATTTTTAATTTCTGCTTCTCTGATGTTTTCAGGGGCTTTTTTTTGGTGTTTTCCCCCACCTTCCATCTGGAAATCCGAGGAAGGGTCAGGAGAGTCTGTAATTACTGTGCCTCCCTGACCTTAGCCACCTTCTCTGTTATTGACTCTATAGGGTGTCTGTTCATTACCCGATGCCCTAATGATGGTCTGGATTAGCTGTTACCTGTCACACCAATAGAGTTTTTAATTTTATTTTAATTTTATCAGCTTGTTTACTGCCTGGAAGCTTTGGATAAAGTACCAAAGTAGAAAAAGTTCTCCTGCAGCTGGAGGTGGAGTCCAGCAGAAGGTCTTCAGTGTTTGCTGGGGTGTAGGAGGGGAATACTGGATGTTCTCTTGAAATAAAAGGGGAAAAGCGCAAAGTATGTTCTGTTGGTGTGATGGAAAAAAGTATGATTTTCAGCAGTAAGTTTGTTAAAGATGTTGGGGTTGACGGAGCTGTTGGGTTGAGAGTGGGAGGATGCTAATTACACTTTTTAGAGGAGGGTGAGAAGAAAAGCATCTTTCGTTTCTGAGGATACCCTAAGGTCAATCCTGAGACCAGGCTCTTCCCGGACTGGAGCTAGCCCCAGTGTTTGCCTGTGTGAGGCCCAAGATAGATAAATGATACAAACATTGTCTAAGTTCAGGGAGATGTACAAATCATAAACCAATATAATTAGAAGGGAGAGGTTTTGGACGGATATACTGTGGGCTATAGACATCTATACAATGGAAAGATAAACTAGAAATACTGGAGGTTAGATGCAGTGCAGGTAGATTACCCATAGTGCAGATAAATCATATGGATTAAAGTGAGCAGGCGGGCATAGATAAATTAAATGTAGTAGGAATAGAGGCATCTTTGCAGCTAGACAGCAGGAAGGACGTGTGTGAGTGTGTCCATGCGCACGTATCTCAGTTTAACACTGTCCTTTTTCCCTCACAGTGACTCAGTTACAGACAACTTTAGCAGCTGTCCAGGACCTCTTAATCCAGCAACAACAGAAAATCCAGGACCTCACCCAAGAACTGGCTGCTTCTAAGGTATCAACTTCCAATTCTTCACCTTTAGAACACCATCGTCTTCTTTGGAACATGCATGGCTTCTTTTGTGGGCACATGGAAAGCATCTTATTACATTCACAGTCCAGCCTTCAGCTCTGTCGTATCCCCAGCCAGTTTCTCTGCAGCTGACTTCTCCATAGGCGGTCTGTTTAAAGCACTGGAATTAACTGGGTCCTCAATGAAATCTAACTTTTGAGAGGGCTTTGCTATATAGCTTTGTATGCAGCCTGCGTGCCTGAGGCCTCAGACCTGTTCTCAGCTCTGTATCTTCTGCATTGCATTTGAGATGAAATAACTGTGCTGTTAGTCCACTGACCAAAAGAGGTAAAGGCCAGGTGTGCAAAGGTTTTGTGTGTAATATGTAATTTTACGTGTTTATATTTCTCCCAAACCCTTGTGCATTGTCAAAGCAATGACTTAATCCTGTTCAGCCAAGCACATACTTGAAGTACCGTATTTAAGTCACTTGTTCAGATCCAGGCCAGGTAATGGTGGAACATTCTTACTGTTTGGTTTCTTGTTTCAGTGATTTTGGTCATCTCAGCGTAACAGGTTGCCCCACCACAACCACATCAGCCATGCACAGTGGCCCATTCCCCTTGACTCCTGACTTGATCCTGGCTATAAAACCACCACTTCCGACTAGTTTGTCTTGTTACGTGTGTAACTACAAGTAACCACTTTTAACCAAAATTGATTTTCTTTCTGGCAATGAAAATTAGTGCTTTTCATCTCCAACGTACTTTGTAGCCATTGGCCTAAGCATTCTGTTAGCTGGTAAGTGTTGGTTGCATGTGAGGTGGGATGGATTTGAACCAGTCACACAGAGATGAAGTCTTCCTTTCACTCACAAATTTGTGACTATTCAGGGCCCAGTCATGTTGCCGTATTCTCTGTACAGAGAGAGATTTTTCTTTTTACTGTGAAATCCCTTTGACAATGCTTACAGTCTTTTACCTATAGCATGAACAGTTGTCTTCTCCCCTTACGTGTACTTTAATCTCATATAAACCCTTTGATGGTGTGTAACTGGTGGGCCACAGCTGACTATGTGGTGTGCACACTGTACAGTAGGAATCCCTCAGTGGCACAGCTGTAAACCCAACCATGAAAGCCAGTTTATGGTCACAGCACTCTGCTTCAATTTTCCTTGGGAACTGTGGCCTGTCAGTGGCCTGGAGCCAGCCCGGAAATTGGAAAACTGTTTTCAGGTCTTAAGTGTTAAGATTAAGACCACATGTTGAGCTTTAAGAAAGAAAAAGGGCATAAGAGTCTTGGTGGTTTAGAGAGTCTTGAAGAAGTTTTTCCTCCCCCCTCTCTACCCCCTGCACCGAAATGGTAGCACACATTGTTATGATATCTAAACCTCATGTGTACAAAGAAAAACTTGGGCAACCCCACAAACCAAAGAATAAAAGCTGTGTTTTCTCAGCTGTAATGTAAGTTTTTATATCTGATTTTCAAACTCCTACTGGCATGCTGTAAAAAATTAAAAAGAGGGACTTTAAGTAATTAAAAAACGTACATAAAAATTCAAGGCTTGAATCTTCTACAACTGTTTTTTAAAGAGACTGGCTAAAAAGCCCCAGATGTCAGATTTTATTTCTAAATCCTAGGCATCTGGCACCATATGTGTTTTGGAAATCTGAGTCCTTTGCACAGGCCAGTGAGTGGAAATCACTCCCTTGTTAATGTGCTGCTGTAGCTTTCAGGGTCTTGGAAAGCCAGAACAGTGGCTCCTGGATTCTTGCTGTCTGAGGGCTGGGAGTGTGAATCCCGAGGGAACGCATCTGTGTATATCACAGCTACTACAGACTGAGCCTCTCCCAGCTCACTGGGTTCACAGCCCAGAAGTCACTGTGAGGAGTGCTGGCTGTGAAGGTGTTCAGGGTTACTCAGCGCTAGCTGAAGTCTGTAAAAAATAAGTAGGAACAACCAGTTCTGGCTACATCTAGTAGGAACTGCTGAAGAGGAGTTTTGTGTTATTCCAGTCCTGGCTTCCTTTATCAGGGATTTATTAGGAGTATCTCTGGAGCAGTGCTCACAAGTGGGTTCATTCCTAATGGCTTTCAGCAGAAATTACTATGGGAAGTGCTAGACGTGAGTGTTCTTTGGTCTCATACTCAGCCCATTGCTACAGGAGTTGCTGGAGTGAGAGGATGGGCTAACCACAGGCCATGATCTGTCTTTCAGAATGTTCCTCCCATTTCTCAAGTTCCCAAAAGGGTTAAAAGAAGGGTTGCTGAAAGTATTCTCTGCAGCATGTTCTCCTCAGTTGTTACCTTTCTCTAATTTCTGCCTGATATCCCGTAGCAATTCTGATGCAGTGCTGACAGCAGCTGTACCAAGCTTCCATGAGTTACTTATCATCTTTCCCCATCCAACTGAATTCATTGCCTTGAAATATCCAAGAGACAGTGCCTAGTCCAGCTGCTGCCTGCAGATACAATCTGGTAACTGAAGCATAGCTCTAGTTCTTCAGATCTAGTAGGGAGAATTTTTGCAACTTTCAAGCATTGATTTATCAGCCCACCTCTAAACACCACAGCGTGCAGACAGTAGATTCTTTATTTCATGATTTAGGAGAAATGAACAAATGGTTTTATAGAATCATAGAATGGCTTGGGTTGAAAGGGACCTTAACGATCATCTTGTTCCAACCCCCCTGCCATGGGCAGGGACATCTTCCACTCGACCAGGTTGCTCAAAGCCCCGTCCAGCCTGGCCTTGAACCATTCCAGGGAGGGGGCATCCACAGCTTCTCTGGGCAACCTGTGCCAGTGCCTCACCACCCTCATCGTAAAGAATTTCTTTCTTATTTCTAATCAAAATCTCCCCTCTTTCAGTTTAAAGCCATTACCCCTTGTCCTATCACTAACTGCCCTTGGAAAAATTCCTTTCCAGCTTTCTTGTAAGTACTGGAGGCTGCTCTAAGGTCTCCCTGGAGCCTTCTCTTCTCCAGGCTGAGAAAGCCCTGGGGAGACCTTATAGCAGCCTTCCAATAGTTATTAATATATAATATTTGAATCTGTTGCCTCAGCTAACATCCTGTGCAGTCCCAGGAAAGACTAAAGGACCTGATTCAGTGTAACTCTCACTGCATTTCAGGATCCTAGTTCTAGTTCTTCTTCTCTGGAAATCATTAGTCATAGGTCAGTGTCAAATTATTTTGTTTACCTCTTTATGTATTGTTCTCTGTGTGTTATGTTGGTGGAAAACATGCTCTGTAGGCCTAGCTTTGTCTGAGTTCTCACAAGTGCTGGCCGCCTCCTAATCGAATGAGAAAGGTCCCCTTGAGATGCTTCAGTGATGGTTGTGCATGGTATGTTGGAGACAAGATTAATTAGTCCCCCAAAAGGAAAGCGAATATTTAAATAGTCTTAGCATCTTGAGACAATTATTATTTCTGATCGTTGTGGGGACCCATTCAGGTCCTTTATTGTGGAATTTGTTTCACTTAGATCTGAGATACTTTAAATGATAGAGCTTATGTGTGTTATCCCCAGGGCTTGAGTTTCCGAGATGGGAGGAGAGGGAGGATAACATAGGACAAAGTGACATTTGTGAACTATCTCCCAGTTCATACTTTGATCTTTATGTCGTCTTTTTCATGTTCTAGGCCACAACCTCCACCAACTGGATTCTGGAGTCGCAGAATATTAATGAGTTGAAATCTGAGATCTACTCATTAAAAGGACTTCTCCTGAACCGGTATGGATGGAATATGTGAGGAGGTTATTGTGTGGGGGAAGGGTTGCATTCTGGGATTCTCTCAGTCATGGAGAGGAAGCGCATTTCCAACAGGAACTAGCTCTATATCCTGTTACTACTATTTTAATAATACCACTTTGCACTCCACTGTCACTTTCTATCTGCAGGTCTCAAAATGCTTTTCAAACTTGCCTTAAATCACAGAGTGCTTTTGGTAATTAATAAGATTTTTCCTTTTTGTTGACAATAGAGGAGTTCTCTGCCATTCACCACAGTCAGGATGCCTCTCACCGAGTTTGAGGTATTGACTGCATCTGTACCTGCATTCTGTTAGAGAGAGAGTCACTTCTGGATACAGCTCAGCTGACATGTTCGTGGTTAGGGCATAACCAAGATGAAAAGAATCACACTTCAGTAGAGCCTGTTTCTCTTGACTAGCTAGCTCAGGTATAGACATCTTATAATGCAGTAGATGTCTGAAATGAGGTGATATAAATCCCAGCCCGTGGGACAGCCGTAAGGACAGGGATCAGATCTCAGTTCTTGAGGAAAGTCTTTTTTTCCAAGGACATTACTTAAGAGTTTAGCTTTTCAGCTATTGATCCTTTCACTCTGATATGACTCCCTTGCATCCTTCTACATGTAACTAAGTCTTCTCAAAGTCATCTGTTTCCTGAGAGATGGACTTCAGAGATCAGTCTAAGAGTGGACTAGACATGTTCTGGATCTCAGCAAGTGGGCTTTTCAGAAGTCTGAAAAGTGCATTGGGTTTAATGTCCTTTTAAATTCATGCTGCACCTCCCATTCCTCCAAGGAGTCACAGTAGAAAGCTTTGGAGGATGTAGGACACATGAGAAGTTACTGTCTGTTAAGCTGGGTCGTGCTATCACCACTGCTGGGGAGAGAGCATTAGTTAATGACACCTCTTCAGCAATGGGAAAGTTGCAGTTCGGGGATAAGTCCTTTTTGGAAAAAAGAAAACTTTTTGGAGGGTTGTTTTTTAACAAAACGGCAAATGTTTCTGAAGTGAGGAGCCAGCAGCAACACTGGAGCCAAGAAAGTCTCCAGATTTAATTTGTTGATTGCATTTATGGTGCTGGTTAAATAATGCAGACATTAGCTTATTGCACTCACAGGAGATCAGCAGAGTTCTTCGCTGGCTGGTGGTGGAAGCAGGAAGAGGGAGGTGAGAGCAACTACTGTTCCTAGCTCAGTCTAAGAAAATGTAATCTGCTGTGTTTGAGCGCTCACTGCAGGAGAGCAGCCAGCTTTCATCTGCGCTGCTCTTGTTGGTGGCCCTAACCAGGCCAGCTGAGGGGCATGAGAACTCCCTGCCACATAGCATCCTTTTCAGAACTTGATCTGATACCTCTTCATACTCCTGTCTTTCACATACACAAGCAAGGATGCAAGGGGAGTGCTAGATCAGATATGCTTCTTTACTTTGCTCTTCGTGATGGGTGAGTTTCTGAGGGCACCAGTGCTCCCCACTGCACTTATATTTGGGCCTGTTTGGTACTTGCATTCTCCTGTTGGGGCTGGGCATTAGCCTGCCACTATCAGATACTTGAAGCCCACCTGGAAAGGACTCGAGGACAGAGCAGCCATCTTCTCAGCTGGTGCAAGCTAGTATGACTCCGTCCAAGTTAGAGAAGCTGAATCAGTTTGTGGCAGCCAGGACCTGGCCCCAACATGTAAAGCGCATGCTGGGGCTGGGAGATAGGCCCTGGATTGTAATGAGGCAGCATGCAATAGCTGTGTATCGCAGCGGAGGCGAGAGCCAGGTGGTGAAATTCCTTGGCTCAGGCACAAGGACCTGGTGTGTCTGACTTCTTGCTCCAGTGGGAATTTTCTTTACCAATTAATTAGTGATTGTTTTATAAAGGGACACTCATGTCTTTCCACAGTCAGCATTCGTGAGTGCTAGCTTACTCTGTGAAATTGGCCAAACCAGACCATTTTCGTACTGCAGATTGCCCAGCTGAGATACTTCCTTGTGTGCAGGCTCGATTACTGAGTGCTTGTAAAGCACTTTGAGATTCTGGCTGAAGAAGTGAAGTGGCCTTGGTTTTGTTCATTTGTGAGAAAGGAGACTTGCAGTTTCAGTCCTGCTTTACATGACTTCTCCAGTGCAAATACCAATCTCTCTAATGATATCCCCTCAGTGTTTTTAATAAAAGCCCCTTTCTCTCCTTTTCTTCCCCTCTTCCCCTCCCCCAAGGAGGCAGTTCCCTCCCTCCCCTTCAGCTCCTAAGATCCCATCATGGCAGATCCCGGTGAAGCCAAGCTCACCCTCCAACCCTGTTGTTGCCAACCATAATAGCAGCAGTGACATCTCACCTGTCAGCAACGAGTCTACCACCTCATCACCAGTCAAGGAGAACCACAGCCCTGAGGGCTCCAAGGTCAGCTGCCATCTGCTGAGCACGGAGGAGGGCAACAAGGCCGTGATTGACGTCAAGAGCCAAGTGCGAATGGAGGTGCAGGGTGAGGAGGAGAAAAGGGAAAACCAAAGGAATGAAGAGGAGGAAGAGGACGATGAGGATGATGATGTTAGCCATGTGGATGAGGAGGAATGTCTGGGTGTCCAGACAGAGGACCGGCGAGGAGGGGATGGTCAGATTAATGAGCAAGTGGAAAAGCTACGAAGACCTGAAGGGGCCAGCAATGAGAATGAGATTGACTAAGGCATCCTGGCTTCTGCTGCTGCTGCTGTACATCTTCCCTAGCCTCCTGCACTGTCCCCAGTGCCTCTCCCATTTTGTGGAGAGAAGTGCTATCATCCCCTCCAGTGATTCTCCTGTGATTGACCTTGAGTAGGGTCGTGATTGCCCAGAAAACAAGGTGGGCCCTGTTTCACCACAGGGCTTCGCAATGTTGTGGTGGCTTACTCTCCCCTCCCAGACCCACCTCCTCCCCATGAGCTGGGGTCACTGCCTAGGCTGGAAGACCAATCGCCTTACCATGCAACACAGCTACACAATAAGTCCTCATACAAAAATGCCACCTCTCCTGAAAGAGTCAGCCTCTTAGCTGCATCCTAGAATCCTTCTGTCTAGTTCCAGAAACCAATCTGTCCTGAGCTCTTTGATTTCACAAGCCTTGAATCCCCACATAAGGCCCAAACCAGTTCCCTGTTTCCTAGATTAACCCCCTGTTTTATTTCTCAAACTACTTGATACTCTGTTGTCAAAAAAGAACATTTTAACACTGAATTCATCACCAGATCTCAGTCTTGGCTCTTCCAGGCCTTATGTCAAGCCTCAAATTCCTGAAACTACCTAGCATCTAAAACCACTAAATTTCTGTGGGGTCCAAAGAACACTGTTTCCACCCCACATGCTTATACTGATTAAAGTGGCCGCTTGCTAGGGACCACGTCCAGGTTTCATGGCCACAGTAAAATCCAGGTGAACAGGTGGCTTTGTTACTGATTGCTTCCCAGTAAAAGAAGGCTTTAAAAGAAGTTGACCCCACTCATCCCAATTACCCTTGCTCCTCCAAAGACAAGGAGCTCACATCAGTTTTTGACATCTCACATTTTATTTATAGCTGCCCTGAATGAGTGAATGAACAGGGTGATATCAGATGCTGAAATAGTTGGTTAATTCTGAATCTTTGCAATGGTTCTTAGCCTGGTTTTCTCCCTAAATGAGGCGAAAACCCATCTTAAATGATCAGCTGAGACCTGCACCTACCCAGTGACAGGCACCTGCTTCAGCAGAGCAGTCTTTACAGAAGAGAGAACAGTTCCAGCTCTGAGGTACACCACTGGCCCTTCTTGCCCAGTCCAGCCTTCTTTTGCCCCATTGGGGCTATACACAAATTAAAACAGTGAATTCTGAAGCCTCTCATTTGCAGCATTGTGTTCTCAGCTGGTAAAATGGTGGTGTCCAATTATATTATTCACTGCATCAGAGCCTCTTAGCAGAGCAATTCTTGTAACAACTGAGTCTCACTGTCCTCACCAAGCAAGTGTGCTCGTCTGTGTGATCATGTATAGATTTCAAATATAAAATACGATTGTATATAATTGTAATAAATATGAGTTACCACTATTTAACACCAGGCTGTTACTGGATTACTGTGGCTCTTATTTTGGGGAGACATATGCATGCAGGGTGGTAAAGGGAGCGAAAAGGGAGTATTACAGAAATTCAGTCCTTATAAAATGTTTTCTGAAGGAAATTTATGGTTGATTTTCTGACTGCTCCAATACTCGCTTCTGTCAGAAGGAGGCAGTGTAGAGAATGGGGTAAGTGCAATATAAGGTATGCTATAAATAGCTCCAACAACACTGTAATGCTGGGTTGCCCCCAGTGTGGCGGAGGGTGAGGTGGATGTATCGTCCCGTCAGTAAAATGCAGCTGTTCCGGTTCTGCCCTCCCAGCAGGAGGCTCCGCAGGGTGCGGGGTGCCGCATCCCGCTCCTTTCCAGCCCCGCAGCCCGACGTGCTGAGGGGAGGGTGTGAGGTGGCCCACGGCCCCTCAGTCTTATCTGCTGGCAGGGAATGCTGTGCCGTGTCCCGTGACTGGTCTAACCCGGCCATGTCAGTACAGAAGCCATCGAAAGAAATGGCGTACAGAAAGTGATTTGTAGCTACTGCAGTCCCATCTTTGTTCAACAGAAGTATTTGGCTCCGTTCTTAAAAATGAGGGATTTACTTGATTCCTGAGTATTTGGGTGTCTGGTACACAGTGACATTTTCGTGCTCAGGGGGAGTGAAAGGGACCTTCCTATTACTGTATTTAGACCTGCTGCTGAATGTGATGATTTCTCATTCCTTAAATGGACGAATATCTTCCCCAGGAGTGAGTGAGTGTGTGTGTGTGTGTGTGTCTCTCTCCCTCTCAGTCTCTCTCTCCACTGTTTAACGTTCACAAAGAACGTCACGTTTAGCTAAAACAGGGCAAATTTGAAAGTGTTTAAAAGGAAAGGCTTTTCTTAAGAGATGGCACTTTTCATTTCTCCAAGCCAAGAATCCTTGTGAAGAGAAAACAAGACTGAACGCAGGGGTGTGATGAAAAAGTATTGTCCTGCCTGTGTACATTTTATATACATAGAAGGTTTTGGAAATAGAAAGTGCCTGGACAACAGCAGTTGGTGAAATGTGGAAAATATGTTGCTGAGGTATGTGCCTTGCAGAGTGACTTACGAGGTTTACAGTACAAGCATCCCTGCGGGTTCATTTTTCCCCCCTTTTCCTCCATGTTTGCAATGTTCAATTCACTTACCTCAAAAGTTCTGGTGCAGGGTAAAAGGCAGTTTTCTGCAACTGCCCTTTTCCCTCCCTTAGTTTTTATTTCTTACAACCTTTACCATTTCAATAGGTCACAATTTTGCCTTTCCGTAACCTGATGAATCCCAGAAAACTCCATCATAGCCCTTGTTGCTCAAAAAATCTGACACTGGGCCTCTGGCAGCTGATGGGGTGTTTGTGTACTTTATTGAAGAGATCCAACCCACCAGCAGAGAATTTGGAAGAAGCCAGACCTTCTTACCAGCAGGTATTATCGTGAATCACGAGTTTTATTCCTCTGTCTCGTGTTCCTTGTCTTTCCAGTGTAGCAACAGTTCTAGGGCGAGCATTTTGGTCCTTATGAACCCTGTAGCCTGACTGCTAACTTGTAATTTTTTTTTTATTTTTTATTTTTTTTTGCTAGAAAAAAACTTCCTAGATCAGCTGCCCTGTGAAATGTTTAGCCCACTGGCCAGTAAGCACTGAGAATGGCATCGTGCTAGCTGAAAGATGACCAGGTAGCGAACCTTTCTTCTGCAGAACAAGCCAGCCAGCAGCAGCAGTTACCCGCCAATTCAAGTGCTCTGTTTTACTGTGTCATCAGCCTTTGTTTTGAGACAGGAAGAAGAGTAACAACACCCTGGTTGGTGAGTTGGTAACATGGTTTCTGTAGGACCTTAACAGCGTATAGAAAGCAGGTGAAGGGAGCTTCCTCTGAACAGTGTCATTTGAGCACATTTCAGTAAAACCGTGAGAGCCTGTGCTCTCTCTCCTGGAAGAAACAATATTGGGATGGTGGTTTCCAGTAATTTGAGGATATGAAAGCTCCCTTTTCAATAGCTGCAAGAGCAGTGTGGGGAACTCAAAAAATGTGACAAAGTGGGAAAGGGTTAAGAGAGATGTCCCCTGACCATCTTTGTCCAACCTTCCTCGCCCCCAGATGTGACAGGTAAGTCCTATGTGCATCTTTGTCAGAAGCAGGAAGATTATTTTTTTTATTGCTTTTTGAATATTGGGGGTGTAACTTCACAGTGTTTGGGATCAGGAGGAAGAGGATGGACTGCAGGATCCCTTGTGATCTTGCTGCTTTGCTGCATGACGCTTTGCAGAGTATTTTACTTACAAGTGTCCCTCAGGTTCCACACATGATGGTAAAAAATACTGGCTGGTGAATGGAGAGATGTGACAAAGCCATGTTGGAGAGAAAGCCAGCTTTGGGAACCAGGTCTCATGCTAGGTCCTGCAGCTGGCACAAAAACCCCAGCCCCCCTGCAGTGCTGTGCCCTGGGGCACCCTGCCCAGCTGTATGGGCCCCCCGTCCAGGTTTTAGCCACTGTCCCCTGAGAGCCGGGGCTGCCCAGCTGTGTCCGAGGAGCTGCCCTGCCTCCTGGGGCACCTGTGCTCCTCGTTAGCCAGCTGGCCCTGGCTCGGAGGCAGACATTTTGGACCTGGCCTTTGCTTGTTGCAGCTCAGGTTCTTCTGGCAAGTAAGTGCTTTTTAATGGCTATGTTCTCTCTTGATTTTGTCTTCAGCAGAGTGGGGGAACTGGCTGTATTTCCAGTGGCTACTTCACCCTGGTTTGGGGTTTGTTAGAAGGGTTGCCGGGAGGTCTGTGCTGGTGTGTACTGGTGGAAGGAAGCATGGTGTATGCTAGGCTGCTGTCTGGAGCAGGGAGGGGGCTGTGGAAAAGCCCAGCCTGTGTCTACTCGGTTGCTTCCATTTGCAGTGCCTGCTACAGAAACAGAGGCTGCCTTTGCCTGTCCTTTGGTGGGGACCAGTGCGATGCTTGGGGAAAACAAAGGCTGGACAGCAAGTCCAGCATAGCTTTTTGTTGCAAACCTGTTGTGGTAAAGTCAAGGTCTCCATGGTTGACTAGACCTTCTGCAGCCAGCACACTGTGGATCACATAAGTGTTTCCCAAAGGCTTTGACAACAGGAAGCTTTGGAAGGTCCCTTCTATGTGGTGGTGCTTTCTGTTAAGCACAAATTGTATGTGGTGGTGACCATGCACACCGAAGACCGATGTTAAGCATGAGCTGAGAGTCTTCCAGCCTGGACTTGACCTCTTATACCATTGGGTAGTATGCAAGTGCAAAGCAAGAGAGGGGCTTGGCCTCCAGGGATTGAAAACACAAATGAAGGGATGCTGGGAGGTGAAACATAGGAAATTATTTGCCTTTCCAACTTTCTTCATTTTCCTTTTTATCATCTTATCCCCAGCCTATGCGTTTTCCTCAGGAGTCAGCCTCTATAGGCACCTTTAGAGCTCTGTCTACCTATTGTACCGATGAAAGGCTGGCTCTTACCACTGTGGGTGCTCTCAAAAAATGAAATATAGTAATGGAAATGTACCTAAGGTGAATCTTGGGGTATCAGGAAAGAGGGAAGATGGAGGGCAGGGCCCAACTCCTCCACTTGCTGTACAGTAGGAGCTCCGAACTGCGCACTTGTAGATTGAGGGGCTGGCATGGTCTCTCCCAGCTCAGGGAAAAAAACAATCCCGTCCCCAAAAGGGAACAAGCACTAACCTAATAAAGGCACCAGCTGGACGAAGGGAAAACCAGCTCTTTGGAAAAAAAAAAACAACAAACCTCCTTTCATTAGAAAAATAATATATTTCATCCAAATAAGGTAAAAATATTTGAAATGGGGCAGAAGTGAGCACTAGGCAGCATCTGTCAGGCCCTTTCTGAAAACGGGAAGATTATTAAATGCAATTACAATTTATTTTTGTAAAGTGTCTTTCAGACTAAAAATCTCCCCAAATGCTTTGCTGGGACTGCGCAGGGGTTACTTACAATATGGAGCATCTTAGAAGAACACCCCTGTTTTCCCACCAAGCCCGTCTTTTCTGCATCTGCTGAAGGATTTAA